GAGCCACAGAGGCTCCGCCCCCTCCCGCCGCTCTCCTGCAGCTTGAAAGGACCGAGGCACCTCTTTTAGGGGGAGGGCTCTGTCCCAAGGGGTTTAGGCACACCCAAACCAGGTGATTTGGGATCCCTGGAGCCTGAGGGATTTTGGGGAGCCCTACCCATGAGATTTAGGAACTGTAAGGGGTGGGGTCATGTACAACCCACCCCCCCACCCCCCCAGTGGATTTTGGACCTTCTGAGGATAAACAAAGCCCAGGGGCATTAGGTGCCCCCACCTAAAGGGATTTTTTGGGGGTCCTCGGCATGGGTGGCTTGGATCCTCACATCTAGGTGGTCTGCAGGTGCCCATGGCAGGGGGGGAATGACCCCCTGTAGGATTTGAGTGCACCCAGCTAAGGCAACCGAGGACCTGAGAAGTTTAGGACTTGGCAGCTGAAGGAGATTAGGTACATATGCCCAAGGAATTTGAGCGCCTTTGGCCCAAGGGGTTTGTGAGCCACAGGCCCACTGGGTTTAGGCACAATAGAGTCCAGCTGGATCAGGTGTCTCCATCCTCCACTACAGCTGACTGGGAGGGGGGGATTGGGGGGCAGAAGTTTAGGCCCCTCATGTCCAGGAGGATCAGGCACCAGGCTCTTGAAAGGGGTTTAGGGTCTTTGGCCTAGGTGGTCTGGGAGCTCTGGTTCCAAGGCTCTTAGGAACAGGACCCCAAAGTGGGTAGGTGCCTCCAGGCCAAGGACTTCAGCACCCTGAACTACACAATTTGGGATCCTTGATGGCTAAAAGGCTCAGGCACCATCTGCCCAAGTGATTTAGGATCATCAGGCCAATGGATCTCGGAGCAACCATCGGGAGGGTAAAGACCCTGGGCTCGCGAGATTTAGGCACAGTGAGCCCAGGGAGGCACCCATACCCCCTGGGATTTTGGAGTGCCTGGCTCAGGTGACTGGGGATCCTGACATCCAAGGAGTTCAGATGTCTCTAGCCAAGGGGTATTAGGCTCCTCCTGCCCAAGGCTCAGACCCTGCTGAGCAGCAGGCCCGGGCTGCCGGCGCCCCTGC